AAACTGCTTAAATATAAATAAATAAACAAATAAATATAAATAAAATATTAAAAAAAACTGCTTAAATATAAATAAATATAAATTAAATATAAATTAAAAACTTAAATATAAATAAAGCAAATAAAAAAAATAAAAAACTGCTTAAACATAAGTATAAATAACCTAACAAATAAAATAATACATTTTTTTAAAAACTGCATAATGACCTAAATAAACAAATAAAAATATATTCAATAATTTTAATAAATATAACATTAACCTGCAGTGTCTCGCCCTAAAGTCAGTATCTGTTAAGACTCACAAATGAAACTCAAACTCACATAAATCACACAACAACAAACATGCAGTATTAGTATTTATTGAGCGTGACATTTTAAAACAGGAATTCAGTCATAAATCAAACACTTAAAAGTGCACATTCAGCCCATGCAAACAAACATGTCAGAACTTCATGTGGACGCTGCGTTTCTCCAGAGTCTGTGCATTGTGAAGTGTGTTTGCTTCAGCATTCATGTAAAGGCATGAGGAGAGTTTGTTCAGTCAGGAGCACAAAAGTCTGATTACAGAGTGATTAATGAATAAATGCTCACTCTGAACTTTATAACACTGCCTTTGACTTGATTAATAAAAGCAATAATCCTTCAGTTCATGTGCGCACATAACACTTATGATTCATTCAGTCATAAACTTTATTTCTGCTTGGTTAATATAAATGCACTTTAAATTAAAAGTTAAATCAAGTTTGATCGTGTGTTTCAGTTTCTTGACTTCTGGAAAAAGGCACACAGCACAATACAGAGGTTTACAATCCTAAAAGCAGTCAGTGTTTATAATCTAACACAGTTTCACACTGTTTAAAATCAAGTCAAATCATTTTAAATCTACAAACATCATGCTACAAACATACTCGAATGCCATTAATTTTTTTGTGCTTTTGCATTAACAGAAATCTTAAAGGGGACCTATTATAAAAAAATCACTTTTATAAGGGGTGCAAACACAGTTGTGTGGCAGCAGAGTGTGAATATAATGTATAAATTGTAATTTTTTAATAATCAGACTGGATGAAAACAGTCTGCAGAAACACTTTAATTGACATTCTCACTTTGTATGTGTCATCAGAGGGAGAAAACCCCGCCCACTAGTGACCATCTCTCCCCTTATTAGCATAGTGTTTTTAAATCTGCCACTATGCTGACTCACAGGCATGTGTAGCTCCGCCCTCTTTTGAAAAATGCACAAGCTCATTTGAATTTAAAGCGACAGTCGCCAAAATGGCATCAAAGCCTAAAAGGGTCAGTTTCAGAGAGTTCGAAAACATTATCTGTGTGGTATGTTGAGCTGAAACTCCACATACTGGACATCACAGACTTTTTGTACATTGTGTAAAATGGGGCATAATAGGTCTCCTTTATTGTAAGAACACAACAAGGCTTGATTTAGTACAAATAAAATGTTGCCGATTATTTAGCCAAAACATTTTATACAGAGCTAATCCTGTTAAGCTTAAGAAACATGCAATGCAAACTAAAACTAGTAACAAATATTTGTAAAAGCAGAACGTTTTTTGCTTGTTTTTAAATCCAAAATCCAACTAAATGCATTAAAATTGAAATAAACAGCTGAAATTACTACAAAACATTTAGCATGGTTCAGTTTGTTTTAAACAATTTTTTTTTCGATTTTTTTTTGCATTCGATTTGAATGCAAATAAGTGTGTGTGTGTGTGTGTGTGTGTGTGTGTGTGTGTGTGTGTGTGTGCGCGTGTGTGTGTGTGTGTGTGTATATATGTATGTTTATATATATATTTATATATATATGTATATATATATGTGTATGTATGTGTGTGTGTGTATATATATATATATATATATATATATATATATATATATATATATATATATATGTATATATATATATATATATATATATATATATATATATATATATATATATATATATATATAATAGTGCTGTCAAAATTAGTGTGTTAACGCATGTGATTAATTTGAAAAAAATTTTGCGTTAAATATTAAAAATTAACGCAATTAACACAGTTGCAGTTTTTTTTTATTTCCTGTTGTGGTCGACGTGTGTTCAACATGCAAAGAAATACGGATAAGACCAAGGAAGCACTTTTTGAAGGAAAGATTCAGTATAAAACAATTAATGTCGCATCACCAGACTCTCCAGCGTTTCCTCCAGAGTTTATTTAATTTCGTATGTTTCATTTTTAATTTTCGACTTCTGTTTTAATGGAATTTGATACCGCATAGCGAACAGAAAGAAAAACCTCCGCATTTCGTGACTCGGTGATCCTTTAAGGTAATCAAAAATCACTGTTTACATGGTAGACACTTAATAAGAGTATTATCTTAATCGTATTAAAATCAGAGTATTGGTGTCCATGTAAATGTACTTTCAAAGACAGCGCATTTCTCTGCCTTTCAGCATGCGCCCTCTAATGTTTCATTAAGTTTGACGTGTTTTCCCCTTAAACACAAGTGTCTGCTTCGCATTGTTTTGGGCGTGAGGTGTAAAAACACCCTGCTGAAACAAGGTGGTTTCATGGCCCTTTAAGGGATTCTCATTTAAATATATGTTCTGCATGCAAACTAAAAGAAATGAGAATTTCTTCAAAAGAAAAATATTATAGTAAATATTGTGATGCATGACCTTGCTTTTACACATAATTTGGGAAATATTCACTACTCGGCCACTTTAATAGGTACACTTTAATAGAAGTGCCAAGGGATTTTTAATGTAGTTTGAATTACCATTGTGTATGAAATGTGCTATATAAAGTAACTTGCCTGGCCTTTCCTTTTACTTTATTTCCTTAAACGTCTGACATTATTTAATGGAAACGCAGTGTCGCTCCATGACAGAGGTGATGATGATGATCAGAGGTTTATATCTGGCAGATTCGGTGTAAAGAGCATCGGTTTGTGTTAATAAGAGCAGCTCAGAATCAATAACAGGAGCTCTAGTATGAGGATCTGGAGTCTGCTGTACAGTATCAGTATATAGAGTCTCATCTAAAATAATAAGATCTTGAGTCTCAGCTACAGTAACAATATTTGGAGTCTCCTCTACAATATCGGTATATATAGCCTGTACAGTATCAGTATGTGGAGACTCCTGTACTGTATCAGTATATATAGTCTCCTGTACTGTATGAGTGTTAGTGTCTGCACTGGAGGTCTGAGATCCGGCTCTTACCCTGAAGGGGCTGTTGGGAACACTGGCACCAGCCCAGCTCACTGCCAGTGTGTGTTTGATGGCGGCGGTCGGTGTGTATGAGCAAGAGTAAACCTGGTCGCCTCTGCTTTTCACCTTCACCTCCACCGGGACACCAGCAGCATCCTAAAAAACAAGACAGATATTCAAGTGCTGCATTAATGAACGCTTGACTCATGCAATGCTCACTTTTGACTTTGGCATCTTTAATTTTTACATTGTTACATTTTTCTATTTGAATTTTAGAACTTGACAATGTATTTTTTTAACTTTTAATTTAGAATTTTTTAATTTTTAATTTAACATCTTTAATTTTAGATTTTTAAATTTTTTTATTAATTGTTAAAGTGTAATTTTTTATCTGCATTTCAGAATTTAAAAAAATTTTAATTTGACATTTTGAATCTTTAAATGCTTTGTTTTAAATAAAAAAATATTTGAAATTATTGTAGAATTTAGTTTTATAATTTAAACATTTTAAAACTGATGAATTGCTAAACTTCTAAATTTGAATATAATTTTGTTTAGAATTTTAAAATTTTTACATTTACATTTTTGAATTTAAAATTTGGCATTTCGAAATTTTTAAATTTTTTTATGTTTAAAATTAAAAATAGAATTTAAAATTAACCTAGAATATTTTATTTAACATCTTTAATAGTCTTAAAATTTTAAAATTGACGAATTGTTACATTTTTAAATTTCAGTTTTAGAGTTTGACCATTTGAATTTGTATATTTTTTAATTAAAAAAATTTAAATTTGACATTCATAATTTTTACTTTTTTTAATGTTTAAAATAAAAAAACTGAATTTTTTGAATTTTTATTAGAATTTTTTAATTTATCATCTTTAATTTTACATTTTTTTATTTGTTACATTGTAATTTATTTATTTGAATTTTGGAATTTTTTATTTTGAATTTGACATTTTGAATTTGTACATGCTTTAATGTTTAAAATAAAAAAATTAATTTGAAATTATTGTAGAATGAAATTTTAGAATTTCAACGTTTTAAAACTGCTAAATTGCTATTGTTAAATTTAAATTTTATTTTTATCTAATAATTTTTGAATTTACATTTTTGATTTTGACATTTCGAATTTTTACATTTTTTTATGTTTAAAATTAAAAATAGAATTTGCATCTTTAATTTCTGTTTAATTTTACATTGTTAATCATGAATTATTTTAAATCTTTATTGTTTAAAATAAAATTCTGTATAATTTTTACATTTTTTATTTAAAATCTTTAATTTTAGAATGTTAAAATTGATAAATTGTTACATTTTTAAATATGAATTTTAGAATTTGACAGTTTGAATTTATATTGAAGAGATGATGTTCATCAGACCTGTGCTGTGATCTTCAGTGGTCCGGCTCCTGCATCTGTGGCTTCTACAGTGAATTCAGCAGGTTTGTTTATGATGCAGCCGGATTTCTCCAAGCCCGGCCCGTAAGCCTTCACCTATAAACACAACACAGCAGAGAAATACATTCTTTCATTCTTTTTCTTGAATTTGCATTTGTAACTTTTTAAAATTACTCTTAACACAGTAATTTTCTTTACATTTAATTTTTAAAACTGAATAAAAAAACTTTGATTTTAAAATGAGCTTAAATTTATTTATTCATTTCATAATTAAATGTATACAACTTTGCACTCGCAAATGGTAATTTTCTGGCAGTAGCATTTTTATGGTATTTTTGCCAGCACTTCATAAATGCAAACATGCGATCACAAATTAAAAGACTTTTTTTTATATAATCATTTTATTTGTGAAACTAAAATATTGTAAATAAAATTATTTAAGATTCATATTTTTATTTAAAATTGTTGCAATGCAATCTATGCAGATTATTTATACATATCATCAGTTTTTTATTACATTTATATAACAATTAAACATTTAAACAAGTTATGCAATAATGCCAATGCGTTTATACAAGTCATAATGAAATGATTAAAATAAAGTGAGGCATTTTTGATTTTTATATTTTAAGTAATATTAAATTCATAGGCGAAAAATCCATGCTAAAAACAACCAGATACACTTAAATCAAAATATACTTAAAGCTGATAAGGGTAGATCATGTAATAATGACAAATGGTGGATGCGATATGTACTTCCAGTCTTCTAAATGCAGAATGTCACGCGTGTTTACATAGAAGAACAGTGCAATAGTAGTGCACTGGAATGGAAAAATGGCTTCTGCGTGAATGGCCTCTTGAACACTGAGAATAATTTCTGCATGTATTTTACTGTGTTTTTACCAGGCCGGGGTTGTTGGCTTTGTTATCAGGGACGATGATGGCCATGAAGGGACTGTCCTCGATGTCTTCATCATCACACATGACATGAACGGCGTATTCTCCGGCTTCGGTGGGCCAGTATCTGACGTCACATGAGCCGTCGTTCTGATCCTCACACTCGATGCGGGCCTGGGACGGACCCTCGATAGCAAAACCTGCAGGGGGGAAATCAAGATTTGACATGCAGTTAATGTCAGAATTAATCAACCTCCTGACTTTTTTTTCTCCCTTTTTCTGAATATTTCCCAAAAGATGTTTAACAGATTCAGGAATTTCTCACAGTATTTCCTATTTATTTCTTTTTTCTGGAGAAAGTCTTTTGTTTTATTTGGGCTTGAATAGAAGCAGTTTTTAATTGTTTTAAACCCATTTTAAGGTCAATATTATTAGCCCCTTTAAGCTATAATTGTTTCCGATAGTCTACAGAACAAACCACTGTTATACTATGACTTGCCTGATTACCCTAACTTTAACCTAATAAACCTAGTTAAGTCTTTTAATGTGACTTTGCGGAAAAAAAATCTGCTCTCCATTAAACAGAAATTGGGGAAAATATAAATTATAAAGAATAAAGAAATACACTAGTAATTGTTGTATTAATAAACCTTAAAGCAACCTTTTTTGCAGCTTAAATCAATAACATAATACAGTACACCATGACAAAACCTTCAGCAATTAATGACAAGAACATTTGATACCGTCATAATCCTTTCCACAAGATCAGAGCGTAATATAATGTGTTTAAGTTATGATGGATTTAAAGCTCCTCACCGAGTATCCCGACATCAGTCCCGATGGATTCAGCCACAAAGTCTGCAGATTTTCCCACTATGCCTCCCTCCAGACCTGGACCCCAGGCACGGATCTTCTGCGGTCCTGCTTCAGAGCCCACATGAACCTCGAAAGGGCTGAACAAACACACACACAGGTCATATACTGTACATCATAAACATTGTCTTATGTCCAGACAATATTACACTCAAAAACACTTTCACGAAAATTAGCTAAAAACTGCTTAATTAAAAGAAGAAAAAAAAAACTTAAAAACGAACAAGCATTTAATGAAAAAAAATTATTAAATAATAAAAATGTACAAATTTTAATACTATTTAAATTGTATCCATGCAATCAATGCAAATATAAATTCACTGTCAATGAACTTGATAAAGAAAAATTGAAGAGCAAAAATTTAATTATATATATTTTAAAGGACATAAAAACAGTTTAAAATATTAGAAGCTGCAATAAAAACATTTAGACAATTTTAGCAAAGTAATGTGCTATTAATCAATAAATAAATGAAAATAAATAAATAATAAATAATTAAAAGCATATTAAATTAATACAATTGAATAAAACTAAATTAAATATTTTATTAAAATAAAAAATAAATAAATATATAAAATGTTCAAAATTAAGTTAATTTTCTTTGCAATGGTTAAAGTTGTTCCTAAATTGTAAGAGGGGCCAAAATCCTAATTATTTATTTATGTTTATTATACAAAATAAATACCTTTTGCATCAGTTTTTGTTCAAAACAATAATCTTTAATAAAATATTCAGGACATTACAAATCTTGGGAATTTATGGAAATAAAATGATTAACTATTTTTTTAAAGCAACAATTTGTAGAAAAATATTACTATTATTATTATTATTATTATTATTAATTAATTTTAAAAAAACAATACGGCCTGAAACACTACAATGTTTTTTAAATCTCAAAATGTCCATTAAAGGTAAAAAAAAAAAATAATAATAATAATAAAAAACACACTGTATAAATACTTTATTTAGCCAAAGATGTGTTAACTTGACAGCTTTAACAGCAAAAACAGAGCCGAGTGTGAGAACTCTCCATTTCAACTATGAGCACCAATCATTAATCTGACTGGACTCCACATCACCACACACATCTCATTCAAACAGCTTGTGTTAATGGAAGGAACCACAGCCTGGTGAATAATGAACGCTAAAGGGTCACAGCTTTGTTTCTGTGTGTGTGTGTGTTTGTGTGTGTGTGTAAGACTGAGGTGAACAGGAGGATGATTGTGTTCATTCAGTCAGCTCTGCTCCTTCATGCATGTGATCAGCAGAAAAAGTCTGTCTGCATGTTAATACCAGTCTGACGTCTCGGGCCACACACCATGCCGTATTAGAAAACCTTGAACGTATTTAAAAAACACCTAAAAAGGTTTTAGTACAGCTTTTTTTTTTAAAGAAACAGCACACTATTTTTCGGAAATGGGCTCGTTTTAAAGCTCCCCTAGAGATACAACGGGTTGCATTTTTGTTATCCATTCAGCTGATCTCTGAATATGGCACTTTTAGCTTAGCTTAGCATAGATCATTGAATTGGATTAGACCATTAGCATCTCACTCAAAAAAAATAAAAAAATAAAAAAAATCTAATTTTCTTATTTTAAAGCTAGACTCTTGTGGTTACGTTTTGTGCTAAAAACAATATAAAGATTTAAAGTTGCTATTTTAAGGACTAATGTTGTGTTTCTTAATTTAACCAGATAAAAACCTATTGAGATCAAGATCTCATTTACAAGGGTGACCTGGCCAAGAGGTCTACAACACACAACTTATAAAAAAAATAATAGTAATAGTAATAATAATAGTAATAATAATAATAATAATAGTAATAATAGTAATAATAATAATAATAATAAATAGAAAAATTAATTTGATACAAAAATACAGTTTAGTTGATCAACTATACCACATTACAATATATTAAACACACATACATTGAGAAATGGACTGTTGTTGTTGTTTGTTAAAAATAATAGAGTGAAACGATGTAATTGGGAAGAGCTCAGACATTTTTAGTTCAGACTGAAGAGAGTTCCAAGATGAGGGGGCGGCATGACTGAAGGCTCACTTTATTATTTCAGTCAGAACTCGTATTACTTTTGTCTTTTGGAGAAAATCTTAATTGTTTAAGTTTGGCTGGAATAACAATACAATTTTTTAAACCTTGTTGAATATTAGCATCTCACAAAACAACTAGTGAAATATTATGTAGTGTCATCATGGCAAAGGTAAAAGAAAATAGTCATTAAAGGGCACCTATGGTGAAAAGTCCACTTTTCAAGCTAGTGTATAGACTGTCATTTTGGGCTGATATAAACACACAGTCCTTTTTTTTTTTTTTACAAATTTAACAACATAAAAACGGTGGACCAATTGGAGCGGTTTTCAGATTGACCGCAACTTTACGTAGGAGTGCGTTCCCCCCGCCCACCAATATTGATTGACAGCTGCGCGCATTAACATGTCTCCGTAGTAATGCATATAATCATATCGACAAGACAGGACGAGAGCAAAGCAACCGCGAATATTAGGTCTGTTCAGTTTGCTAGGATCATCAATCATCATCAGACGTGATCAAGAGTGAGTTTTACAAGTTTAACATGTTTTAAAACGTGCAAGAGTGTAATGAAGCACAGCCATTCACTTCATCACCACAGCCGCTTGTCTCTCTCATTGTCTCTGGGCTATGTATGTGTGTGTGTCTACGTTATATGTGTGTGTGTGTGTGTGTGTGTGTGCGCATAAAAAACAGCAACAACCTTTCCCCAGGTATAATACAGACACTTCAAACAGCTCTAATAAATACTCTGATGGGTGTTTTGAGCTGAAAGTTTACAGACACATTCTGGGGACAAAAAAGACTTATAATAAATATGAAAAAAGGGGTAACCTATGTGCCCTTTAAGACTATAATAAAACTGTGCAGTATTTGTTGGGAAGTATTTGAAAATTAATTCAAGAGGGTTTCTTCATGCCAAATTAATTCAAGTAAAAACACAGCTGTCACTTCCAGCCCGCAGTCTGTTAAATAAGCTGTTTATGCTATATGCTCATGCTCATGAATGTGATTGAACATCCGCACGGTTTAATGCACGCGACGGCCGTTTCCTGGTGGTCTCCAGTGACTCTGCGTTTCCAGAAACTCTCACACGAAACATATCGTCATGCTGTTTTTCCAGCACGTCTGTCAAGCATCCAGAGCTAAGGTTTACGCACTAATGAGTCGTCTTGGCAGTGGACACAACCTGTAGTACATATCACATGATTGGTACTGTATAGGCAGCATGAGCAAACACTCTTACATGGTTACAAGTCATGCTGATACATCTAATTTATTTATATTACATGCAAATTAGGCATAGATGTGTTTAGTATACGATGCAGTGTTATTTTCGTAAGCAGTATGTACTGTAAGAATATTTATTAGCATTTTGAATTTGATTTAATAAATATTTTCAGTTATCTTTCTAATTTTGTTGTTTTTATATACTTTAAGCATATTTAAGTTTATTGTATACAGATTTAACTTTGGTTTTACATTTCAACAGCACCAATGTTCAATTTCGTATTTATTTAATATTCTAAAACTGTTTATTTTAGTACTGGTTTAAGCTGTTAATTTAAAAATGTGTTAATAAAAATCTAAATAAAACAAATATAATAATATAGTAATGATTATATTACTGTTATTGCATAATAATATTAATAAAAATAATAACAATAATAACAACAATAATATATTATTAATAATAATAATAATAATTATTATTATTATTATTATTTTGTTATATAAAACATTATCATTATTATCATTATTATTATTATTATTATTATTATTATTATTATACAATATTTATTATGATGATGTTATCATTAATATTAATAACAATATTTTTATTATAGTTATATATTATTTGTTATTTAATAAAAATATTATTATTACTATTTTAATTATAATAATAACAATATTATTGTTATCGTTGTATAATACTAATTATTATTATTTTATTGCATAAAACAATGTTATTTTTATTATTAATAATACAAAAAATATTCTTAATATTATTATTATATAATGAAAAATAATAATAATGATGATGATGATCATATTAATAATAATAATAATAATAACAATAATAATAATGTATTATTATTATTATTATTATTATATTAATTATAATATTAATATTGTTATCACTATATAATAACAAAAATTATTATTATTTATGATATTATTATTAATTATAACAATACTACTATTACATTTATATATAAATGTTATTAATATTATTATTATCATTAATTATAACAACATTATTATTATTCAATATTATATACATGTATGCACACATACACACAAATTTTCATCTTATTAATATATTTTAATCTTATTTTTTAAAACTTTAAAAATGTATTTAAAAATTATCTTTATTTAGCCAGATAGATATTTGTAGTTAATATCAACAACAACACTGCTTCTGCTTGCAGTACTGTAACATCACATTACGTCTCAATCCGGTTAAACATTTCACAAACGAGCAGTCAAGCACTATATATACTCCATCACAGAGTCTTACATCACACTCAACATTAAACCCTTTCAGATCTACAAACAAAGTCTCTCGCAATCAGACAAATTCCCTGAAGATCCTTAATGGAGCGATCTGAACCCAATGAATTTAATCTGTATTTAAACCCCAGCACACTGACAGATCATGTATAACACGATCTGTCCTGACTCCAGCCCTCATGTGCTTACATACGGCTATGCCTTTATACCTAAACAGAGCTGATCAGGTTTATCCGAATGGCTGAATGAGACCCTCAGAACATCTGGATCTGATCCGTTTTAACCAGTACGTCACAATTAGTAACAATACTGATCGGATTTCCTTCAACCAGTGACGTCGCCATGGTCTTAAAGGGACAGTTCACCAAAAAAAGAAGATTTATTGGTCTTTTACTCACCCTTAGGTAATCTGAGATGCACAGTTGAAGACAGAATTATTAGCCCCCCTGTATAGATGAATTACCATGTTTGTAAACATTAAGAATGCGCGTGCAGGGAGGGGGCAGAAACAAGCCAGGAGCACAAGCATTTACAGCGAGGGAATGACATTCGATGCGGTACAGAGTTTGTTGTTGTCTTAAAAATAAGACATTGAGGGCGGGACTGACCTGTCACTCACATGAAATCCACCAATGGCAAGCCAAAACCATTCAATTAATATTTATTATGCATTACAAAATCAAGTCCAGCCTACATTGGTCATTTCGCATACAGTTGACTTAATGTGATGCGTATTACTCTTAATATAAACGTATTAGCCATCCTGTTCAATTATAATTATTTTTGCAACACAGAGGACATTTTCTGGAGAAAATCTTATTTAAATAACAATGATAATAATATTAATAATTATTATTATTATTATCAAATCAATCGATTAATTAATAAATTAGTCGATTAATAAATTTATCGATTGATTAATACATTGATTAATACATTAGTAAATTAATTAATACATTTGTCGATTAATTAATACATTAGTAAATTAATAAATAAATTAGTAGATTGTTAAATTTATTGATTAATTAATAAATAAATTGATGAATTAATACATTCGTAATTTAATTAATAAATTATTTGATTAATTAAAACATTAGTAAATTAATTAATAAATAAGTCAATTAATAAATGTATCGACTGATAAATACATTAATTGATTAATTAATACATTAGTAAATTAATTAATAAATTAGTCGATTAATACATTAGTAAATTAATTAATACATTTGTCTATTAATTTATACATTAGTAAATTAATTAATAAATTATTAAATTAATTAATTAAATGATTAATTAATAATTAGTAAATTAATTTGTCAATTAATACATTAGTAAATTAATTAATCAATTAGTTGATTAATAAATGTATGGATTGATTAATACATTAATTGATTAAATTGATTAAAAAATACTTTAAAATAAGGTCAACATTATCCGCTCCTTAAGAATTTGTGTTCCCAATTGGCTAAAACACAAACCACTGTTGTCCAATGACTTGCCTAATTAACCTAGTTAAGCCTTGCACTATAATCTGAATAATAGTGTCTTGTAAAATAACTAATAACAGATTATGTACTCCATGTCAAAGACAAAAGCTATTAAAACTATTATGTTTAAGTGTGTTGTATTTCTTGGAAAATTAATGTGAAAAATAATGTCACATGAGGGCTAATACTGCTCTTCAACTGTATATGAACTAGAGAAGGAAACACTATCTCAGCTTGTGTTTAACGCTGACCTTTGTTTGCTCTGAGTTTCAGAGAAGCGACTGTTTAAATAGCTGCTCACCTCTTGGGAATGTGCTGTCCAGCCCAGGTGATGGAGACGCTGTATTTGCCAGTAGCGTGTGGATAATATTCATAAGAGTAAACACCATCTGAGGCGTCCTTCTGTTTCACTGGCTCCTCCAGACCTTCTGCAAGAGAGCAACATTTCAAATTTCACACAATCCATTAAAGGATAAAGGGTTCAGAAAGTGCTCCCATTACGCTTCTGGGGAGGATATTAACTTTCATGTAGTGTGTTTGTAAAAGTAAAAGGTCTGCAATGTTTCAAAGAAAAAGGACAGGACAAATGGAGCTCTGTTTCCCACATGAAAGAAGTGATTTTGCACTTCTGGAATGAGTCGTCAGTAATTTCAGCTTTACTTCTTGCACAAACTTTGCAGATTTGTGATACGTTTGCAGAGTGTCAGTCTATAGTCTATGAACAATGTCTACTTTGGCTCTCAAACACTACAGTTAAAGCTGAGAGCTGAAGAGTTTGGTTGGTGTGTCAACATGTTGATGTTGAAAACCAACATCATTGTTACTGTTAGATTGAGTACATGTGAACTATGATGTTGATGTGGTCATCGGAGTAACTGGTACATCCAACCAATCAGGGTGACCAGATCCTTAGTCAAGTGTTTTAAACACTGCAAAAGCTGTGACCTGATTCTCCAATTAGTATTATGAAAATATTTTTAGATTTTTTTGTCCTTAAATGGATGTAAAACTACTGTAGGAGACTCCAAAACAACAACACAACCATTAAAAGATGGATCATTTAAAATCCCAAGCATTTTCTAAATAAGGACCTTTAAAAAATACTTTTCCAGTCCTTCAACTTGAATGTGAATGTGTTGCCGTGAAAATATTTGTGAAATTTACTTGAAGGATCTGAGTGGAAATATATCAGAAGCATTTATTTCCCAGTGTATGAATATGAATATTATAAAGCTGACGTTTGCTGAAAGCCCCTTCAGGTCCCGTGCGGATTCCAGAGAGATAAACTCCTGTCCTGAAAGTTATAGTGGAGGTCAGTGAACCATCTGTGACCCGGTCAGATCATTAATCTCAGTCAGTAGAGCAGACGTTTGACACGCTGATGGAAATTAATGTGGGTAGATGATGCCATCTGGGCACCAGAGTCTGGGAAACCCTTCACTCTCATTTCAAACACTCAATCAACATGAGAAATAAACATATAAATAACAAATACTGACTTATTGTGAAAGACTACTGGAACATGAGACCTTGAGAAAAAAAGAAGTGATGAGAGTTTTGTAAAGCAGGAGAGATGTATTGAGGGATGATTGTGCTGAATTTTATTGTTTGCATCGTTAATGTAAAATAGATTTTACTCACTGGGTCCTTTAACGGTGACCTTCAGATCTCCACTTCCAGCATTACGGGTGTCCACTTTAAAATCCGCCACCTGCCGAACTCTCACTCCTCTGGGCTGCAGACCTCGACCGGTGGCCCGGCATGCACCCGGGACAGACGCTGAAACACACAATACAGAATACATGATCCCTGATTTACTCAACACAGCTAATAATTCATCATGTGGAAATGTACATAAAAACCAAACAATATGCAAACTACAAAAGTATGTTGTGTTTATTAAAAAAGCAAATATGTAAAAATAAATACATCTTATATA